CATACAACTTGTTAGATTTTAAAATAACATAAAGTAAAAAAAAAATTCAAATCTCCAATTAGTGTCCGAAGATAATAGGGTATAAAATTTGACCTTGTTGTCTATGTTCTTTACTCGATTATGACTTTATCACATGGCCTCCACAAAATAACACATTCTTCAATACAAGTCATATCAGAAGTAGACCTCCACAAAAACTAGTATACGATTGATTGATTGATTGACGACTCCTCTAGTTTTCCAGGCTGCTCTGCCGTCGTGCGAGTTCCCTTCCCCTTCCGCCTCATTTTCAAGATTTTCCATCGACCCCGCAACATTAACCCCTTATCACCACTTCCATTCTGCTCAAGCACCCACCATAAATAAAATTAAAGACATAAAAATGTTCTACATGTAAACTGCACACATTGGCTATACTAGATCCAATCATTCATATTGGTAAGTAAAAGTTCCCCAGGGACAGAATTGAACAAGAAAACAGATAAATATCCCGTCTAATCTACAATGACAGAACTCGACTGAAACATGCGAATATCTCTAGTCATATCTAACTGCATAGATTGAACTCGAATGAACGAGATAGCATATTGAACTCGACTTAATAGAATAATAGACAATTATCTCTCGTGAACAAGATAATGGACAAATACCTGTTGTCCGTTCTAACGTGAACTTGATTGGACTAACCAATCGTGCTACTTGTAAAACTAGTTTGACAATTAGTTTGATGACTTATGAGTTGGCAGGAATTTTGGCCATTGTTTTCAAATCAATGGCCACTATATTTACATATCACACATTGTCAAACTAGTTTTTCAATGAATTGTCGAACTTCATGGTACGACAGGCTTAATTTCTAACCTAAAAGGAATCAATAGCTATCAGTTACAACAAATACATTAAAATATTACCATAGCAGCATTGCTGTAGCCATTATTGTAGCTAGTTGAAACTCCCTCAGTATCTTCATCCCTTTGCTTCCTTGATTCTGGTTCATAGCCATCGAATTTGGATCTAAACCCAGATTAATTCTGGGTAAATTGGAAGGCCGTGTTTCAGTGGCATTAATCTGGAACCCGGACCAGATCTAGAATTAAGCAGCCTTTAACTAACATATTGAAGGATGGCTATAAGATAAGGTTACAAGCAAGAAATCTTGTCACTACTATCACAGCCAACACAAATAAGATTACCTTTTTCTTCAAGGAACAACATGATCTTTAAGAAAATTCAAAAGTGAGCCTATCACACTAAAATCAATTATTTTTAGATTAATAAATGAATAACATTGACTAACCTTTTAAACAGAACTTTTGCTGTGCGCATTGATTGAGAGACAATCTTGTTTACGTGAATCAAATTGGTGAATCCATCTCTGCATAGAATTAAATCTGTAAACATCACCGTAAATGTTCCAACAAGATTTCCACCAATTATTCATATGCATATTACCCATCAGAAATTGGCGATCCAAAAATTGGACGCCAATTTAAGAACCCAAAAAATGCAAAAATACCTTCGAAATTTCCGATTTCCCGNTTCGATTTCCTGGTTCAATCTCTCTGAATTCCCGATTCAAAACCGTATATACTTCGAAATCTCCCTTCCACAATTGAAACATGTAGAAACTGCAAACAAAGATGGAAATTAGCAACAAGATATGAAAAATTGAGGATGAATTCGTTTCTATTTGGAGGGGGGGGGGGATTTTTTGAAAAAATTACACTGAGAGGCGGAGGCGAGAGAGGCAGACGAGAGGCGTGGAGAAGGAGAGGGCGTGGAGAGGCAGAGATGTGGAGACGTGGAGGAGAGAATGGGAAGACATAATTAGGGTAGAAAAAGTGGGAAATAATATTTTGGTAATATGGACTATGGAAGGAAGGATTTTGGGCTTTTTAACTTGGTGGCTTTAAAAAATGCTATTATATTGTATTTTAATAAAACTCAATTTTAATTTATAGCATTCTCGTTGAGAATGCTATATTTCAATGTTATAAAATGTGTAAATTGTTGTAAATTTATAATAATACAGAGTTTTTTGCCCTTTTATGACCAACTGTCGGAGATGGAGAAGCCTCAAAAAGGCATTGAAGTACTAACTCATAAAGAACAGTTAGTAAAAAAATGTAATTGCTATCATTTAAAATTTTAAATTGAATCACTGGTAAGGGATTGGAAAATTATTGGAGTGTGGTTGAATTATGGTTTGCAATCTGCAGATATAAAAGTCTAGGTTTTTGTCCGTCATATTTAACAAAATATTACATTCTAAAAATACGAAAAAGTATTTTTTATCCATTTAAGCATGCAAATAGAATATTTTTGTAGAAATCGTCATGAAGGATGATATGTGCTAATTAATGAAAAGCTGAAGTAAAGAATTCGACGAACAAAAGGGAATGAACACAAGTTACATAATGACAAAAATGTTGAGAATTAACGTAACTTTAAAAATTGTGGTTTTAAAAATACTAGTTAGATGCATGTGCAATGCACGTGCTAGTGGTGTAGTTCGCTACTAAATATCGTGATCTTTTAAAAAAAAAAAAGAAAAAAAAAA